GGGATTCACCATATAACATTAAGGACGCAATTGATTTTAAAACCAAGACAATGAATTTGGAGATTGAAGAAGACGAGGTATTAATATCATTTGATGTAGTTTCGTTGTTTCCCAGCATACCGATTAACCTAGCTTTAAGAACAATAGATGAAAAGTGGAACATGTTACAAAAATACATGAAAATACCTAAAGACGTTTTTAAAGAAATACTGACCTTTTGTATAAAGGACTGTAGATATTTCATATACTCGGACAAGGTGTACGAACAACGTAAAGGACTTCCTATGGGATCACCAGCGTCACCGATCATTGCTGACATCGTAATGGAGGAATTATTGGACGCTTCTTTAGAAAAACTGATGACAAAGCCGAGAGTAGTAACTAAATACGTAGACGACATTTTTTGTATAATGAAGAAATCGGATATCAACACCACATTAAATATCCTAAATACATTCAACCCGAGCATACAATTTACACACGAACTGGAGAAAAATGACAGACTACCCTATTTGGACTCAATAATAATCAGACAAGGAAGAAAACTTATATTAGATTGGTACCAAAAACCAACGGCGTCAGGACGATTGATTAACTTTTATTCTAAACACCCCCGACGAATAAAAATAAACACAGCGACTAATTTTATCAAAAGGATTTTCAATATAAGTGACGAACAATTCCACTCAGAGAACGAAAGAAAAATACGCGACATATTAAGCCAAAATGATTTTCCAAAAAGCACCATTGACGACCTAATTATACACGCAAAAACGGACCAAATAAAGGAGGCAAGACAAGAAAAGATATATAAAGCTGTTACTTACATCCCGGGATTCTCAGAAAGACTTGGTAAATCAAACATCTACAATAAGGACCACTATCAATTAGCGTTTAAATCTCGTAATAATGTCGACAGTCTGTTTAGTAAAACAAAATCTAAAATTAAGAATGAGGACAAGTGCAATGTAGTTTATAGGATAACATGTAATGGGGACGACGCTGACGTATGCCAAAAGTCATATGTCGGCACGACAAAGACGAAATTAAAAACTAGACTTTCCGGACATAAATCGGATCAAAAAAGTGACAAGCCTCTCGAACAGAAGACTGCTTTAGCTGCCCATTGCACATTGACAGGACATAAACCCGACCTTAAAACCGTTGACATATTAGCACAAGAAAATAATTACAAAAGACGATTTACATTGGAAATGTTACATATTATAAGTTTACCAAATGACAAACGAATTAATTATAAAACCGATACAGACCATTGTGCTCACATTTACAGAAGCCTAGTTCATAAACACCGACGAAAGAAAACTTAGTTTGATAGTGACATTTAAACTCAATAGACGAGCTTTTTACTTTAAAAATGTATGTTATTTATTGTGTTATATATTGTTAAAATCAGTTTGTAATTTGTGTTTTTTGTAAAACAGATCCCTGAAGATGATTTCCGGAGGAAATCGAAATATTGGATGAATAAAAAAGGAAAAATTCAAAAATAAAAACATAGTTTTTTAATGACCTCAAGCCAAGCTATTAACCAAATAAGTAAAATAAATTTCGGCAAATGTTGGTAATTTGGGAAGAAACCATCTATGCAAAAACTGATCACGTTTTGTATAACCATCATATGATTTAAGGAACCGGACATTTGTTTAATCGTCTTTGAATTATACTATGATAAAAGATATGGAAATTATGGGGTCTCCAACGCGCAATTTCAATGACAAATAATTCATATTACTTGAAAACAAGTAAAAAATTAAGTTCGGCCGGGCAGAATTTTTACTATCATCCATCTGAGGGTAAAGGATACATGTTTATATAAAAGTATTTAAATTCAAGCGTGTTTCACTTTAGACTTCATATACCAGTAAGACTGTTTGAATAATGCAGTTAACTTATCAAAAAACCATAATATGAATGAGGCCGTTATATGGGGCCATACCAAAACGGGAACCTCTGTGGACTTTATATTTTATACTTTAAGGATTGTCATCTATCAAACGTTCTAAAATACCAAATTTGAAACAATTATACGCGTAAATGTGTTCATTATCAACATACCCAATATAGGTAGGTATCATTATATGTGTTAGACAAATCCGAGGAGAAATGTGGCAAAAATCATCAAAATACCGAATTTCGAGAGATACCGTTATATAGGGACTATACCAAAACGTGAACCGATAGATCATTTTCAATACCAACCATCCTATACACAATACAAATTTTTCGGCTAAATTTTTACGCTATAGTCAAATAATGTGGGCTGTATCGTAATTTAAACAAACAGGTATACAGACGGACAAATCAACTTAGAGTTTTTTGCTGATTATGAATATATATGCATATTTAATGGGGTCTATGACGAACATTTAGTGATGTTACAAATGGAATGAAAAGTTAATATACCCTCCTTTCCAAGGTGGATGATATAATAGCATTAAAGACTAAAATTACGGGCCGGGCCAGCTAGTTACATATAGAATATATTTCCAAAACGGAGTTTTTAAAAAGCCAAAATCCCCTTTGGGGCTCGCTTAAGCATTAAATTTTTAGACCAAAATAATACGAGAATTTCACTTTAAATATGAGGATTCTAATCAATCTTAATCCGAAAATTTCAAAATATTTCATAATCTACTAGATTTTTCCTGTAAATATTTTGTGTGCTTCACAGTGTAATTTTAAGTCATTAAACAGGCAATAATAATATTAGTAATTAATTTAATATTTCTAACATTTTTGGTATCAGTAACTTAATAATTTTCACTCAAACCCCTATAAACGACATGGACGAAAATCATGGCACAATCACAGAAGGTAGAACAAAGCTACCCCCTAAATACATTTTTTTCTTTTGGTGCCCTTATTCTGTCAAAACATATACACATTTTGTGTATGTGTGTGTATTGTTATTAATAAAAAAATAATTTGAATTTATTTCAAATTCGGTTGCAAAATAAATGCATATTTTCGACGTTAATTGGCCAAACATTGTAAAATTTTGGGATAAATCTGTATTTTAGATTCAATCTTGGGGAATGACTCCAAAATTCCATTCTTATTTTGCGGGTTTTCTCCAATATTAGAATTTTGTTAGAAAATTAAAAATATACAAAACCAACTGTTGCATATTATATAGTCTATTTGACACTATAAGACTCCAGCACAGAGTTGCATTTTCCTAGTTTCTTTGAAGTAGATCAACCTTTCTTATTGATCAATGGTAGAAGAATATAAGGTAACAGCGTAATGTCACCTGAAAAATCTAGCTTGAATATAAGTAAAGACAAGCAAGGCATAAAAATGCACTTTCAAGAAATATTTTTAACTTATCAAACTTGAATCCAATAACCAAGAGCAAAAAATAAAATATTCCTTGGTTTTGATAAAAAGATTCATTCAGAAAACCCATTTTTTCCTCGTTTTCAATTTAATTAAGTTTCCTTGTCAAATAATATTGGTAATAAAATTGACACTTTTATTATCTTAAAAAAAATACCGTGGTCTATCCATTATTTAGCCAATACCTCAATGTGCAAAACATTTGTGACGCCATGTGACTGAAAAAGAAAGAAACTATATTAATTTATTAGTCTACAGTTGCTTATTTTATTAGTTTATATATTTTTTCACTACATAAATGAAGTACTAATTTTTTACCCGAAACGTAAATGATAGCTTAGATACATTTTTAAGTATCAAGCACAGCCAATCTAAAACTGTAGTTCTGCCATAATAGCAACAGTCATTCCATAAAAACCTTTTCCCTGCTTTTCACAGAGATTAGCTTCATTTGGGCAAAAGAAGAGTTTTATATATTTCAAATATCAAGACAATCATCAGAAGATATTTTCAGCAGAATGCTCTTTTTATTGCTTAATTTAAAATATTTAGGTTTCAAAGACACATAAATTAATGTAATGCATACAATAAAATGTAGATTTTAATACGAACATGTGTTTGTTAATCATCAACTCTTATTGTGATTAATATTTTATGTTGTATTTGAATATAACATATATAATCACATTTATATTCCAGGTTTTTTACACTTACAACATGATGTATAAATTTATAATTTGGGTTAATATGAGTAATTTGTCATAGATACTTAATTTGCAAAATCAATAATGGAATGTTGCATTGAGATTTTCTTTCATAAATCTTAATATGGGACATACATGCAAAAAAAATGTATAGAACTTTATTATGTATCCCATATAGGTAATGCAATTCGGTATACTGTAAAGAGCAGGCTTAAAATCAGTTCTATAATCAAGTCCATTGTGAAATACAATTATGTTTTTCTATCAAATTAACAGTTTTTTTTGCTTTATTACATAAAACTGAGAATTATGTATATGAAAAATTGAATATCGACCAATATTTTCTTTTATATTATATGTGATCATAATAGTTTCTTATAATCTAATTTTTTCTATTTTGGATTTTACCACATAGGTGCATGTTCCAAAAAATACCTTAATACTTAGAATTAACATTAAAATGGGATTAAAAATAAAAAACAGTTGACATTGAGGCCGGAATATCTCATCTATTTCAAAATCATTGTATAATTAATGCACAAAGCAGTACGTTAACTTGAATTTCTCTTTCGCTCTATGTTGGAACCTCCATTTTTTGTAGTTTAACTATATTTGATTAATTTTGGTTATCAAATCGTTGAAAAACAGAAAACAGCAAATTGAAATTCATGTGCATTAATTATTTAAATGTTACGTAAGCACATCTCTTTAGAAGAGGGTTAAGGAACACAGCTAAAGTAAAAAATTCTTTACGTCAATCATTATCAACCCCAGACAACCAAAGCTTCGACCAACCTCATAAAACTTTTCGAGAAATCTATAATCTATATATATATATATATATATATATATATATATAATCTATATACATATATATATATATATATATATATATATATATATATATATATATATATATATATATATATATATATATATTTTTTTTTTTTTTTTTTTTTTTGAAATATGTATCTGGTTGATACTGGAAAAAAATTATGAGAGCTGTGTATTAAGTGAAAATGAAAAATGTTTTCAACAGTGGTAATTTGAATAAAAATAAAATCGTCTAAAGTCTCTCTCTGCCTAACCTAAATATGTTAGAGTAGGGTGATTCACAAAACTATACTAAAAATCGTACATGTACGGTATATACTCCTCATTTTAGAGATTGAAACTAAATTCAATGTTATATTAAATACAATTTGGTAATAAATTAGGGTTTGAAGTATTTTGCTATATAAGGTAAATGCAAACGCCAAATTAAATAAACGAATATCAAAAGCTGCATAATAAATTTTGAAATGAACAATCTTCAAACCCATTTAATTTGTTGTTTTCAATTTTATTTCTTGTAATATTCATGGAATGTTTTTGGACTTTCGTAATGTTGTTTTTCATATTTGAGTTTACATGTTAAAAACAAATTACTAAGAAAATATCCCAAATAAATTAGCAGAATTAAAAAATGCGAGAACAAATTGTTTGATATTCACTTATTCAATGCAAAATAAATAAAAACTAGTCAATATATTCGAATGTTTAAATTTCTACTTCTTTAGAAAACCTACGTCAAAAGTATATTTCTTCTTCCTCTGGTTTTGTTTGAGGGGCAATATTGCGTGCGGTCGCGTTGGGAGAAGTAACATTAGATGAAGCTGCCAAAGCATTCAACGAAGACTTAAGTGGAATTTTGGTCTGATTCGATAGAGTCAAGTGTTTGCTAGATGTTGGAGTAGTACAATTCGCGGAACCCAATGAATAACGCTGGCCGTAGGTGAATGTAGAAGACTCGTTTCGAATAACACTAGCTGCCGGGGGGGATGTTAAGGCTGTTGCATTGCTAATAGGTGTATGTGGATTTTGTATTATCGCAGGTGAGCTCCCAGTTCGGGAATGTTGTGGAATTAAGGGATTTACAGCATTTGGGTTGTTGGACGTTTGAGTCGATCTTTTGTCTGCCAATTTCAGGGGAAACATTTGAGAAATACCACCGCTAGATGATGTTGAAGAACTATTATTTGTAGTAAAACTGTTCGATTTATCAATTTTTGCTGCAGAAGAGCCCGAGCTGGGCGTTGTCACAGAAGAAAGCGAAGACAGTTTCATCGGTAGTTTTTGTTTGACGACATTTTGTTGTACTTTAGGGGCATTTGTAGCACTTAACAGATGGACAGGAGGATTTTTTGACATTGTTGAAGCTGTTCGCCATTTATCCTTGCGCCTTTCTACTGTATTTGAAGATGTACCATGACCTGGGATTGTGGTGGAGAGCTCATGTGTTTGTGAGTCTTGTGTATCATGATCCATGTCATTGTTGTTAACTGTGGATGTGTTTACCAGTGGACTTGATAAGTTTAAAGGAGTATTGGGAGATATTAGTAGCCCTTGACTGGACAAGACCTCCATTTTACGATATAATTGTTCGCGTTGCTGTTTAATGTCTTCCTGTTGTAAATTTAATTGTTCTTGCAATTTATCCATTGCCACCTTTTTCTCGTTTAAATCTTGTTCTTGTTGATCTTTTTGTTTTATCCATGCCGTTTTTTCTTCTTGTAGTTTATCTTGTAAATTACGCAGTTCTTCTAGTTGGTCATTATGAGTGTAAGAAGCCCTTGGACTTTCTTTGTACAGTGCTAATTGTAGCTGTAGGGAATGAATTGTGGTCATTTGTTGCGATATGATGCATAATAGAGTATGAAGGTTATGTCTAACTTGTAAATAAGCTAAATTGTTATCTTTGGTAGCTACCGATGACTGATCATATTGTGATGTACTTTCGAGATCTGTATTAGAGGATGGAATTAGAGCACTTATAATTGATGCATTCTTTACTTCTTTTTTCTCCTCAAGTTCTTGCAGTCTTGGGGTAAGGACCTGCAACGTTCCCATTTTATTAATATCTCTTGATGAGTATGTTCCTTTAGCCCTTTTCTCGTCGAATCCAGCAAATGTTTCAGCCCTTTTTGGTAAAATAGGAGAATTGTATGTATCGCTTTGTTTCTCGCCAACAGAGCTAACAGATCTAGACACGGCTTGTCCAGTAGCAGCTGTATACACATTTGAGGCCAACTGTGTAATATCCTGCACTGTGTTTAAAACTTTCTTCCACAATTCGTTAGTATCACAATCAGCACCTATTGCAATATCTTTGTATGTCCCGTAGGTTGCCAAAAACTGTGCCGCGGATATATTGGATGACGCAACAGCAGATATTTGTGACCCATCGTGGTCAGCATTAAACGACTTTTGATCCTTTTGCATTAAATTAAGTTGCAGAAGAATTTTCTCTTCTAACAGGATAGCTTGCTCTATGTCTTTTTGTCGTATCTTCTCGATAATCTCTCTTTTATTCACACCAATTCTTATTTTTTCTTCATGAGTCAAATCGTCCGATTCAATTACATCTGTCGATGGACAATCTAGAACAGCCTGTCTTATGGATTGAATCCACACATTTTTGTCTTTTGGTGTCTGGACTTTCAGTTCATACATCTCTGGAAACGACGGATTAGATGATATAATATAAATACCACGCGACTCTGTGCCCGCCTTTTCTCTTATCAATAGTTTTTGCAGGGGAACAACACCAGCTTTATGTTCCGGTGTAAAAAATGTGTATTTGTTATGAGCCGAGTTTTCACTAAGAAAACACAAGCAGTCGGTTAATACAACAACAAGTACTAGCTGCATTTTTGAACGACCTTGCATCAGTGTTGCCAAACCTTCAAACTTCAACCTCCTTTTTGATTCAAGGCCTACATCCTGTTTACGAAATGGTTTATTTTTAAATATAGCGAAGGATTTATTATCAATTCGATTGTAAATATCTATTTGTCTTTCTCTCAATTCCTTTTCTGCCACACATGCGTCTACATCAACTAAAAGCTCTTTAACTAATGCTAGTGCATGTTGCAATTTTTCATACTCTAACTTATCCTCTCTTCCGCTTTTAAGAAGGGGTTCGATGAGAAGCGGGTATTTTGTTAGTCTTTGGGTAACAAAAAGTATGCATTCGGGAATACCTTTCTTTTTAAGCAAGGGATTCGTCAAGCAATGTTTATACCATTCGGAAAATGTTGGATCCCTTCCAGTCATGTACGATTTAAATTGCTCCAAAGCTGAGCGATGGTTAGCACAGAACTCTCCGTAGGCAAGCCTTAAATGTTGAGCCTTTTCCAACGAAAAGAAATCGAGTAGTATATCTGATATAGAATCTACAACAAAATGTTCTTTTTGCTTTTGACGTAGTTTTTTTAGAAAGCTGCAATGTAATTCAGTTAACTCCTGTAATCTCGGAAACATTTTATTGCAGTTTATCGATGGAAAGTGTCTCTCAATACTTTCCACAAAAACTTTTTGCATTACCAACAACGTTTGGCAATGGTGTTTTTCTGTCATAATGAACTCATATATATGCTCTTGCCTCTTTATATGTTGATCTTTTAATGCTTTTAAAATATCCTTTGGTATACCCGGAGACCAAGAGTCGTGTTCTTTTAACTCAATACCAAGTACAGGGTCAGCTTTCAAATCTTCGGCTTCAATGGGCGCATCGTTCAGGAACTCTGACTTGATAAGTGGTGCGTTATCATCATTAAAATTTGTATTTTGTTCAGGCCCATCATAAAAATCTTGTCCTATTTCGTTTCTTTCATTGCTACTAGTAGGTTTTTTCCCACTTCCAATAGAACCGGTATGTTTTTTACCTTTGCATTCCAATTGATGATCTTTAAGTGCACTCAGCGTTATACCCGAACCACATGCATCACAATTGCTGACTTGTCCGCCGATAGATTTCATCTTTGCCTTGTCTTTCTTTTTGCGGAAAAATAGTGAACCTCGTTTTCTTCTTTTTTCTACATTATCATAAACTTCAATTTTTGCATGAGCTCTTAACAAACTTTGATTTTCATCTTCACTGTCAGTTAGATGCCTTGTTATAACTTTTATATCCTCCTTTGCTACAATTGAAGATGTTGATATACTTTTTTGTAGTGGTATACGGCTTATTATTTCAGTAGCTAAACTTCTTTTTGCAGCTATTCTCTCAAAATCTCTTGCTAATTCAGCTTCATTCAGGGAATGTGTCGATATGCCTAAAAAATACAAGAATGAAAAAAAATTACTAACTTTTATCGATATTGGAATATATGAGCGACCATAATGTTACTTAGTATACCTAATCTACTGAATGCCCTACTTGTAAATTTGGTATGTACCGAATTATTTTTATGTTTAAAACTATTATCTATTATTGGCAACTTTTTGGATACTTAAACTCCATTTTCACCATAAAATGACAAAAGATCCAAATCACTTATAACCGATTTTAAGTTGTCTGTTATATACCCATCACTACTATACTCTTTTCTTAAAAAATACTTGCAACGAGTATGCGTTGTACCCGTACACCGACTACGTATTCCAATGAATTATAGTATCTTATCATAAAGTATAAAAATTTGATAAGGAACAAACATATTAGTGGAAAACTTAAAATGTTCGATTTCTTCAGTAATTTTGAACATGTAAAATTCAAAACATGTACAATTCTTCAATAAATCTATAAATATATATAATAATAAATATATTGTGTGTTATATCGAAAATATTTGTACTTTTCATTCAATCTTTAATGCTTCCGAAGCGACAAATTTTTCGTAAAGTTAGATTAACCACGCCAAATTTGTATGTGTTTACTAATTCTTGCTTGCCATCATTTGTTTTTGGCTATTAGGTAAAACGGCGCATACTGATTTTTCCAAAGTAGTTCGAATTGAATTAACTAGGGCCATGCTTTGACCGCCAGGCCAAAGGGAGGAGTTTCAACAGAGCCTAGACTAAGGTGCCAGCGCAATCGAGTGCTTTTTTAAGTAACGACATGAAGTCGCCGTATATTTTGAGGCTATATTTCCCCCTTTCTCTACTTCCAGCTTGATATCGTTACTTATACGAATGATTATGCAATCAAGGTGTCGGGTCCAATCGTTAACAGAGTCCTATATCACGAGACAAGTATAAAGCATCTCGACCGGGCCGAAATAAATCAAGTTCCAAATGTCAGGTAGTACAGTTATATGGAGACTACACGAAAACGTGGACCTGCATAGCCAATTACCAGAGAAGGCGGTAGGCGGTACAAACACCAATTTTTATAATTCCCTTGAAAAATGTGGCTAAAATCTATATGGGAAATATCCGAAGGCAATTTTCTGACATAGGAAGTGGTACCCATTACGTATTTCAAATAACAAATATGGAACGATTCCATCGCAAAAAATATATATATGGAGCAATACAAAAATGTGGGTTTATGTAAATAATTTTCTATCAGAGAAATTAGTACCTATTATTTTCACTAAATACCAACTTTGAAACAATTACGTTGGACAATGCCTCAAAACCAACATATAAAGGGTGACACCGTTATATAGGGGTTACACGAAGACGTTACGTGGGTATCCAAAGTCATTTTTCTGTCAAAGGAGATAGTACCCATTACAAACTCCAAATGCTAAATTTTACATCACTCCGTTAGAAAACTTGCAACACAAATAATCAAAATATCTGAAGGTACAGTAATATGGGGTATATACCAAAACATGTACAGTTTTCGATAAGGATATTTCCTACATACTAGTAACACAAACTGCCAATTTACCGCAAATTTGTTTTAAATTGTTAAAATTGACCAAAAATACCTTAAATCCTTAAATCTTAAAAAAACAAAAATACCTTACCTCTAAATCGGGCATGGCAAAATCTATTTATGTATGTCCGTCCACTCATGTATTACTATAAGCAAATAATTATAAGCTTTGCATAGTTCATTTGTTTGGAATTAAGACGAATCCTATTGAAGTAAGTGGTAATCTTCGCTCCAAAATCAAGTGAGCCATAGACACGTTTAAACTCTTTAAATAACTCTGACCAGACGTAAGTATTCTCGCCATGCTTCAATATACTGCGGCAGCAATAGTTCCGATTCAGGGGTACACCGCAAGGCGTTGTTCTATTACCATTATTATGGTTAATGGTCATTAACAGTATACTCGTAGATTGGGAACAAAATGGGACAATAGTCATTACCTATGCTGACGATGTTGCCTATGCTTACGATCGCAGGAAAAATCCTACAAACAATTTCAGATGTAATAGAGAGGGCTCACTTTAAATTTAAATCCATCAAGAACAGAGCTCGTCCTCTTCAGTAGGAAACGTAAATATTCTGTTTTCATACCACAAATGCAAGATGGAGTCACGTTAACCCCATTCTCAGAAGCCAAATATCTCGGTACTATTGTCGATCACCATTTAAACTATAAGAGAAATACTGAGAAACGTGCAAAGAGAGCGCTTTACTGCACTTTATACTCGTACCCTCCTATAGGCAAAAGTTCGTGCCTCAAACCACTTATAATAAAATGAATATATGAGTCAATTGTTCGCCCTATTCTAGCCTATGGAGCTCGATTCTAGTGGCACTCTTTATGCAAGTCATCTTATAGACGAGGCATTGACGAAGTTCAAAGAGCTGTATCGCTGCTGAAAACAGGTGCATTCAGGAGCACACCTTAAACCTCACTGGACACCCTATTTTGCCTAAGCCCATTAAGCCTTTACGTTGAGGAACAGACAATCAGGTGTGCCTTTCGGTGGAGTCAATCCTTTGGACACTCTGCTATCCTATGTAAGAGAAGTCAATACATGTGAGGGAGGTCTGGACCCGTAACAGTCCACCTTTCTGCGGTATAGATACTGACCGTTCTATGATGGAATGTGGACAGGTGAATTCTACAAATTAAAAAACGAATGTAGTGTATTCCGAAAATCTTTCGACCAAAACAGCCATAGATGAGTTGGCAAGACGGGGTCCAAATCAAGTATCACTGAAGATATTCCAACAAAAATGGCCAGATAAAGGGAATGTAATGTAACTATGTAATGTATGTCGAAACCGACGTAAAACTTGTGGTTGTCACAGGTCACTGCAATGCGAATTCAATGACTTCTTGATGGAGTAGCGACGATATCAATTACTGTAGAATCTGCCAACATGATGAAGAAATTGAGACAGTCCAGCATTTGCTCTGCCAATTTCCAACTCTCATTAATATGAGACCCAGTCTCATGTAACAATTATCCCACGATCTGTCTTCATATTTCAAAACAAAGCCTGCAGTAATTCTGGAATTGGCTAAAAGATTTCAGTGTCTAAAGTCGACACGGCAGAATTTTTAGCTCTTTTTATTCTATTATTACTTTTTCCAATCTCTTCTCATTTCCCCGTTATAGAATGAACACAATTAACAAGTAGGTTCCGAGTGGAGCGGTTACCCTAAGGCGATTTAGTACGCCAATAAGAACGTATATTTGTTACGGACAGCTCTGTTAATTATGCTGGGGTATTATATAGCCGGTCTGCCCGACTATTGTATTTTCCTTATTGGTTTTAAAAATATATTATCTATTTTTTAGGTATTAAATTGTATACAGAAATAAAGATCACTCGCTTGCGACATGCACTTTATAGAAAAAATATACTAGTAATATCAAAGAACTGATCTGATTAAGTATGTCCTTTCTTTAGATTATATCACGGTAGTTTTGTTACTCAAGTTTACAATGCAAAGCTTTATGACATTTTTTTTTCAAAGTAAAACTCTTACATTTTTTAGTTTCCTTAATGGAAGTGGTTCACGTGGATTTTTTTAAATTGAAAAATTGCCAAAGTTCGTTTCAGAGCTGTGGAGTCGACTCAGTTTTGATTGGACTCCGACCCCAAAGTCATATTTTAGCTACAGCAACGCCACGAAAAACTTCTTTTCCCAACATTTTATTTTGAACTTAGTTCTTAAATCAACCTTATCCAAGACTAAACGAACAAGTTTATGTCAGATCTAAAAATATATTCATATTTTATTGATCCATTCAGTAAAAAAGAAGAAAAATATATTATAAAAATTTATAATAGAATATAGTAAAAACACATCTTTCCCTAGAAGTCACGTGGAAGGATTGTATCTACAGAATAACTATGGAAGGACCTTTATGTACATGTTAGGTTCTTACAGAGGTAGCCGATTTAATAAAAGGTGGTATTAAAAACATAATCAATTCATTTAAGTTATGGTTTCGTTTTTTTATGAAGGAATAAACAATAATTTGTGTGTAAAAAATAGAACATTGTTGGCCAACGTTTCGTCACTTTTTTGGTGACTTTTTCAGGGGATTTCGGGATTCATAGATTTTACTTTAAAATAACATAAAAGACAATAAACAACGAGTTAAAATCTAGTATAACAGATATGTTTACGTTATTGCCACTGCATAGCTTGCACTCGCATATTTTTTGTTACAAAATTGTCGGACTTAATCCCGTCAATGTATATTTTTTGATGGAGAAAAATGGCAATGTTGAGTCCAAAATATTTTTATTTTCCCTAATTACATTGTCAATTTTGTAACAATTAACTACTTTTGTTATTGTTTATTTAATTAACAGTAGGACTATTCTGTAACCTTTATCGATTGAAAAGTTGTTAAAATTTCTTTGGTTATTGTAAGAAAACAAATCAAGCCGTTTTTTTTTTTTGTAAAATAAACAATGAGTGAAGTGTGTATTAAGTTGTAGAATATTCCTACAGGTTTTGTAGTTTGCTGCAACGATACTGCTCTTCTGTAAAAATGTAGATAAATTGTCGTTAAACTTAAAAAGCTTTAAAGTTAAAAAAATGTCTAAAACAAATCACACACAAAACCGATATTTAAAATAGTTGTCAATAAATAAACTATCTGTATTAGTATTATTTTCATAAGAACGACAAGGACAAATGAGGTTAAAACTGTTATAGAAGATAGCATTGTTGGTAATATTTTTTTAATAGAATAACAATATCGATTGTAACATTTAGAGAATAGGTCTACTATTTTGAACAATTAGATTTTTCATTTCATTTATTTATTTATATGTTGCAGTGTTCTAATTTATATTAGTTTTTCATTCCGATTGCTGATCTATTTGATATTACTACATTAAAAATTATTTGTACGTCGATTCAGTAACTTTTAAAGATCCGACAACCCCACAAGTTTCTCTACACTGTTGATTGTTTATGATCCTCATCGCCAACTTATTACGTTCTTACCGATGGCGCCGATTTGTTTAAATGCGACATGTAGAACAACCAATCAGATTACTTATTTTTCAATTTTAAGTTTTGATTTAAATAGAATATGTTTATTTTTTTTACATAAAACTCATAATAAATTTTAATAATAACTATTAACAATTATTTTTTTTACTCAATTCGACCGCAGTTACACTATACGTAAAGGATATATTAATGGTCAATCTATTGGAATTAAGCAAACTCCACAATTTCTTTCTACTCCGTTGGCCTTAGAAACTAAATCTTAAAAAAATCATCAGTAAGTTACATCGTTCCCAAAATTTCTCGTCCTCAGATTACTTGTTGGGAAGAAAACAACACATTTGTTGTAAAAATATGACTCAGGGGTCTTGGATTTCTATTCTTTGTCATGAATTAAAATGATTTGCTGAGTTGTGCTAATAAAGTTCTACTATTATATTGTTTGCACTTGCTGATGACATTCAATTTTTTAAACGACGTGTGGTTCCATTTTTAAATAAATCTAGATATTTAGATCTTTCCAGTTTTCATCCAAATTGTATCGCATTCTCTCGATCTACTTAGAACGCGCAAATAAATAATGTTTTCACATTTTTCTACATCTTTATATGAAAGATATTTCATAGTTCGTTCTGCACGCATATGAAATCAGCTTCCTACTGAGATAAGACAGTTTTTCCCGCGATGCATGTTCGAAAACTTTACAGAATCTAACGGAGGTTAACGTTTTCTTTAGTCAATGCTACATGATTACACTGTAGTTACACATAAATCCTTTTCTCTTTAGATAGACTATCTTATGTCATTATTTTTATATTTTGTATTGATATGTTTGGGGACAATTTTGTTGTGTGTACGTTGAAACTTTTTTTGCTCTAAATATCCTTTTGTGTAGAGTTCCATGGTTGTTCATTTGAATGTTTTGTGAATATAAGGTCAATACTGTTATTTTACAAAATTTTGCAGGCCCCTTTTTATCATTTAGAGTTTTTGGAACACGCAAAGCCTTATACCGCGACTGACTCCTTTGGCTGAATTTCTCGCAATTTCAACCAAACGTAAATTGCTGAGCATATGCTCAGTTTAACCTAAATGAAAACCACAATTTTTGCGGTAAATTTTGTTTGTATTACCTTTGCATTTGGCACGGCTGTAAGTTTTTTGTTATTTTTTCTTGTCTTGATTAATTGTATCCAATGTTTAATTTCATTTAAGATAAAAATATTGATATGTAAAAGTTTAGAGTAGACAATGTTTTTGGAACCGTCCAGTGTACCGTGGCCTGGGTCTGTGTAAAAATAATAAAATATATGCAACTTTCGATTTGATGGATTTCGAAGTATTAAGAGTTATTATCTTCAAAGTTGCGGTGAATATGAGAAAACGCATGAAATGAAACAGACTAGGACAGTGTGATAGATATTTAAAATTAGTGTGAAATTTTCAATGATTTTGTAATCACATATTTTGTCTCACTAAAAACATTTATTTCGCTAACGTTGTCTACAGTAATGTAATTGTAGATCAAAATAACAGTAAAACAGTAAAATATGATTTATTCCCAGTGCTTGTGAAATTATATTAATTAGGTTGTGAAAGTAATGTATGCATATTTTAAACTTTCGTATTCTTGTGTTTCCAATGTGTTCAATAAATTTTTAGAATATGAAAACAAATAAAACTCTCAGACGTAGTATTAAATTTTGAAACTATTGAGCCTATTCTGTAACTTTTATCGATTGAAAAATTGTTAAAAGTTCTTTTGTTATTGTAACAAAAGTTAAGCAAAAAAATCAGTGTTAATTTATATCTTTGAAAATTTGTCCTCATTTTTCTGCAATTTGACATTTGCAGTTCTTAGTACTGCCAAATCTTTTTTTCCGTAATATTTCTCTAAAGAAAAAGACAGAATGGTCCTTCATTTTTGTACGATGGAATTCTAACCACTAACCTCTGTTTCAAAAATTAAGTCGATCCGACATACAGAAATATATTTTTTGCATTCGCATTCAAGTTAAACTACAACGCAATGGATTGAAAGGGACAACTTCCTTATGTAAATGCCCCACTGGTGCCACGATGCAGCAACGTGTTGCAGTTCTCAGGTCGGCATTATGGCTGGACTAAATACTTATCCACTGTGCAGCGCTAGTATTTTCAGAATACACTGAGGCCGCAATGGTAACCACAGACTGATCAATCGGTCCGGACCATAAATACTGCCGCTACGCACCTTGAGGACGTTGCACACTGCTGTGGCTTTTACTCTTTATCCTTTTACACTCCAAAACTAACAACAAAATGCAGAGTTATTAAAATGTGCAAAACGTGAATCAGCCAATTTCTTATCCTGAGCCGTGCAATTACCTAGGACGGAATGTCATTACTCAAGATACCTACAAAAAGCGAACTAATGTTAAACACATAACGTGGAACGAAGCTATTTCATTCGATCATACATTCGATGTATGGATAGAGTATTGTTTGGCCTCAATTCCGGCTGGTAAATAAAGTCCAATATATAGCACTCATATCATTTTTATGAATATTTTAAATTTTAAGAAAAAAGCATTTCAGCTATGGATAGGATTGACACAATCTTTACTTGTTCATTAATTGTTGAACTTTATATTAAGCAATTACTTTGAAGTAATTGCTACTTCCAATACAATATATCGATTAGAGGAATTACTTAACATATTACTTACCTCCAGTACTATTTCTAGCTGATCTTCTTCTTTGTTCTGTTACTCTAATGGTCTCTTGCTCCTCGCTGTCCAAACTTGAAAGACTAACGCTTTTGTTCGTACAATCTCCGCCAGCTGTTAAGTCATCAATGCCAGTCCATGACTTGCTATTGCTATTATTGAGAAGACCATATGATAAAATTTGATGATATATTCCATACGGTCCAGTACCACTTGTCCCTGGTACACCATTGTTGGTAGCCGACAAATCGGGGAGTGAAGCGCTTAATATTGCGGCATTTAACAGGCCATAGTTTGATAGATTATCATTAATATGGGAAGACGATGAATTTTTCATCTGAACAACACTCTCACGGATGTTCTGCAATTGACTGAGAGTGTCTTCGAATATATTGTTGTATTTCGAAACATTAGCGGGGCTGTGGGGAGTTACATTAATAGTAGGGATCATGTTATTTTCACTTTGTCTTAATGTTTGAGGGAAAGAGCTGTTGTTATTGCCGTTGTGTCCCGTAATTTGAGGCCCGGATTTGTTTTTTGCGTTAATTAAAGGTAAACAATAATTTTCACTTTCTTGAGCAGTCGATAGGGGAATATTGATTAGACTGATTTCTACACCTTTAGCTTCAATGTTTTTTTCTACGTTCCGAACGTTAGGGGAAGTTTCTGCCAATGCATCGGTACTAGGAGAAAGGTTTGAGTTCAAGAAGTCGGTAACTTCATCATTATCGCTATCATCGACAGCAGTGTTATGTTGTCCAGCATTGTAGTCCATATTAAATAGTCGACCTCAAAATGCCTTCAAGTAATATTCGCACTGCAAAGTAATGCTATTGGGTTCATTTTTTTAATATGTTTTCAAATACTCACCTTCAGTTTGAACAGAATTGAAAATATATTTCCTTCTTAGAGTACAATTGTTGCTTTCAACAAACCAACACCTCTACACAACAAACAAACAATGACGGACTTAAAAATATTAACATCACACAATCCACAACATTCCATTGTGGATGAGAGGGCTAATTCGTCCACGGTCCTCTTGAACACCAATGAACAACTGTATAAATACAAAGCTTAATTAATAACAAATCGGCAACGTTGTAGTTGTTAAAAAAAAAAAAACAAATTTTCAGAGAAATTTTTTCCTTTGACAAGCGAAATACTTGTCAAATTTCTGTATATAGACCAGAGAACAGAGCCGATTGATACATATAATGTGGCGTTTCCACTGCACTTGATTCGCTCTCTATTCGTTGTTTGACCCTTAACTATGAAAAAACTACCAAATTCTTCACACAAAATTTCCTGAGCGAACACTCATATTTGTACGTTGTTCAATTCAAATCACTCTCAGAACAACGAAAAAATATGTCCCATCCCTAACAAATGAGAGCATTTATCGAAAAAATAAATTATGACATTTAAAAATTAAAAAAAGAAAATTTAATGAAATTTAAAAAAAATTTGGGAAGACTGAAAATTATGAATGAAAACTACAATGTTGAATGGCCTATGTACATTCAAACGAATGTTCATTTTGTTTTCTATCTCATTCGAGGCACGCATTTTGTCCACGACTTAAAATTTCCACAGAAAACTGGAAACAAAAGAGGCAATATTTTCAAAATGTTTGTATCGGCTGAAAAAATGCTTGACAAGTGTCTCTCCAGCAGAATTTAAAAATAGAAAAATACAAAAATATGTTCAAAATGTCAACATTTACATAAAAAGTTAAAAACGTGAATGAAAACTATAAAATTAATGATATAATAAATCTTTGGGAGAAAAACAATCATTTCTTCTATGCATATTAGTGAGAATTTAATGCATTTTAGTATAAATTCCCATTAAAATCAACAAACAAAGTTTTTGAAAAAAGGAATTATTTTACTATGAATTATGAATCGTGCCGTATGAACGGGTTAATTCGTGTACCTAATTCTGAGAGCGAACAACGTTGTTCGGTTTCCAATGGAAACATGCTATAACAAAATAGCGCCGCATGTTCAATCTTGACTTCATATGGCCAAACATCAAATTATAACAAACTAGTCATTGGTAGAAGAATACAGGTAGGTACATCCAAGGTAATATAATATCTTCGTAAAGGAAAAGAGTTTAAGGTTGATTTAGTTCAATTCCATATTTGTCCGCCATAAAAATAAACACGCAAAAATTGCGATTTTATTAGAATAAAAAAAATTAAACAAAATAGGAAAAATTAAAGGTTTTTCAACTTTGTTCAAAAAAATTAATAAATGAACCAATTAAAGTGAGAATACAAAGAAGCCTTTTTACTGGCTTAAGGCTGGAAAAACATAAAGAGCATATTTGGCCGGCTTAAGTCATCGGCTGGCTTCTTCGTAGATGAACAAAGGAGTTTTAGGTTGACTTAGTTCGATTTTGGCCCTAGGCTCCCTTGTTCATTTCCGAAGAAGCCAGCCGATTACTTAAGCCAGTCAAAAAAGCTCTTTATGTGCTTGCACCTTAAGTCATGGTCTGGTCTTTTTGTAAACGAGCAAAAGAGTTCTAGGTAGACTTAAGCTGGAAATACATAAAGCGCTTATCTGGCTGGCTTAAGTCATCGGCTGGCTTCTTCGTAAATGAACAAAGGAGGTTTAGGTTGACTTAGTTCGATTTTGGCCCTAGGCTCCTTTGTTCATTTCCGAAGAAGCCAGCCGATGACTTAAGCCAGCCAGATAAACTCTTTGTGTATTTCCACCCTTAGTTAAATTTCAATCCAGAATTCATACATCTTCACCCTACGCTCCTTTGTTCTTTTATGAAAAAGCCAGCCGATGACTTAAGGTGAGAATACATAGAACCCTTTTTTATAGTCTTAAGTCATCGGCTGGCTTCTTCATAAAAGAACAAAGGAGTGTAGGGTTCAAGTTAACAAGAAATTTAACTAAGGCTGGAAATACATAAAGAGCATATTTGGCTGGCTTAAGTCATCGGCTGGCTTCTTCGTAGATGAACAAAGGAGTTTTAGGTTGAATTAGTTCGATTTTGGCCCTAGGCTCCTTTGTTCATTTCCGAAGAAGCCAGCCGATGACTTAAGCCAACCAAATAAGCGCTTTATGTATTCCCAGCTTAAGGGTGGAAATACATAAAGCGCATGTTTTGCTGGCTTAAGACATCGGCTGCCTTCTTCGTAGTTTTAGGTTGACTTAGTTCGATTTTGGCCCCATGCTCTTTGTTCATCTCCGAAGAAGCCAGCCAGATAAGCGCTTTATATAATCCCACCTTAAGTCAACCTAAGGGGTGGAAATACATAAAGCGCTTATCTGGCTGGCTTCTTCGGAAATGAACAAAGGAGCCTAGGGCCAAAATCGGACTGTCAACTAAAACCGTAAGGCTGGAAATACATAAAGAGCATATTTGGCTGGCTTAAGTCATCGGCTGGCTTCTTTGTAGATGAACAAAGGAGGTTTAGGTTGACTTAGTTCGATTTTGGCCCTAGGCTCCTTTGTTCATTTCCGAAGAAGACAGCCGATGACTTAAGCCAGCCAGAAAAGCGCTTTATGTATTTCCACCCTAATGCTTCTTTGTTCTTTTAAGAAGAAGCAAGTCGATGACTTAAGCCATTAAAAAAAACGTTTTATGTCAAAAAGAGTTTTACATTTTCTAACCTCTAGGCTTGCGAAGCCCAACATGCAAATGTTTCCAACTTGCTTGCTCTAAAGAGAAGTTTGTTCTGCAAGAATTTGTAAACTCTCAATAAAAGAACTATCAATATTTTCCCTCTTTACTTTCAATAATAATATGCAATAATTGCTCCTCGTAATAAAATAAGGGAGTTTTGGATTGACTTAAGGTGACAATACATAAGGGTGGAAGTACATAAAGCGCATATTTGGCTGGCTTAAGGGTGGGAATACATAAAGCGCATATTTGGCTGGCTAAAGTCATCGACTGGCTTCTTCGTAGATGAACAAAGTTTTAGGTTGACTTAGTCCGATTTTGGCCCTAGGCTCCTTTGTTCATTTCCAAAGAAGCCAGCCAGATAAACGCTTTATGTATTCCCAGCTTAAGTCATCGTAGATGAACTAAGGAGCTTTATGTTGACTTAGTTCGATTTTGGCCCTAGGCTCCATTGTTCATTTCCGAAGAAGCCAGCCAGATAAGCGCTTTATGTATTTCCACCTTAAGACGTTTTTTGACTGGCTTTTCTGACATTACAATACATACAGGTAAATCTCCCTACTTGCAAGTGTTTATAACTTAGCCTAGCTTCTCTTCATTGTAAAATTTTTAAAAACCATGTATTTTTGCTGATATTTTTGACATATGAATGTTCGTGAGTGTTGATGCATGTACCTTCTGCCATGTAAATATCATATTCGATTTGTCGCATATTAATACACATTTCGCATGCATGGATGTTTTTTGTCAGCATTTGCCGAATTTATATTAGACAATTTTACTTCTGACAAGTCCCTGTATGAAGAAGAGAAAGGCATGTGAAGAGCAATTGGCAAAAATGCTCATACTAGCAATTTTCTGGCAATTTCTTTGGTGTTAATATTAATACGCAAAAAAATTAACAATGACAACATGGTACAATTAAGAAGGTAAAGTCATGCAAACATATGCTTATAATTTTATTAAAAAGATTCGTTTGACAACATCTCAAAATATCAAATCAAATATCTCAAATTATCAAAATATATATTTGTAAATCCAGTGTAAATACACAAGTCAGAGAGCAATGTGTAATAGTTAAAGATATACCTTTATAAAATTATACTTATTGGTATGAAAGTAAGATCAAGACTGAAGTTATTTTGTACAGGAACTTGATTTGAATTGTTTGATTCTGCTTCCGCATCCATAATGTTCTGCTCACTGATATTCATCTCCCCATTATCTTCTCCCGCCGTGCCAAATCCATAGAAGCTTGATTGTGGTGTGGAAAATTCTGTTGCGGATAAAGAAACATTGTCAGGACTACTTTGACGAGGCGTAGAAATCTTACTTGGTTTCTGAATATAATCTGTTGGTATTGAAATTGTGAAGGATTGGTCGTACATTTGTGTTTTGCTTAACTGCAGGAGATAATTTCGTTAGTAGATGTATGCCGGTTTTTACATCTTTCCGATAGATAAAAAAGTGATGTTGTCGGACACATAAATCGCTTTTCGTTATTACAAGTTTCATTTAAGTATGAACTGTCTTTATCTTTTAACGTAATGATTACTGAATTCATGTTGCCATATTTTTTATTGATAATATGGCAATAACAGCAACATTTATTTAAATAAAAAAATGGATAACGCAAATCGTTTATTTTTTATTAAAGAACTGAATTATAAATTTATTTCACGAAATTAATTACAAGTTCGCATTTTGTTTATTATTTTTAAAATAAAATGAAGATGCCATTGTAAAAAAAAATGCTGTGAATACCAGTTACTTTTAAAAAAGCTTGCCATATCTCGGTAAAAAAATTCATACATATTAAAGGAATGAGAACCTGATAATGTGAACTTTATACTTCACTTTTCCTAAAGTAAGGGATAACAATGGTCCACTTTTGGACTATTGATAAGATATAAGAACGGACCATAGGCCGGTTATTAAATCTTGCCGATAAATAAAAAAGGAATGTTGTCGGACACATAAATCGTTTTTCATTATTACAAGTTTCATTTAAGTATCAACTGTCCAATAAGCAAAAGGTCAAACGATCTTCCCTTTATATTTTAACATAAAGTTTACTGAATTCACGTTGCTTATTTTTTATTGATAATATGGCAATAACAGTCATAAGTCATCGGCTGGCTTCTTCGGAAATGAACAAAGGAGCCTAGGGCCAAAATCGGACTAAGTCAACCTAAAACTCCTTTGTTCATCTACGAAGAAGCCAGTCGATGACTTAAGCCAGCCAAATATGCACTTTATGTATTTCCACCTTAAGGCGTTTTTTTGACTGGCTTTTCTGACATTACAAAACATACAGGTAAATCTCCCTACTTGCAAGTGTTTATAACTTAGCCTAGCTTCTCTTCATTGTAAAATTTTTAAAAACCATGTATTTTTGCTGATATTTTTGACATATGAATGTTCGTGAGTGTTGATGCATGTACCTTCTGCCATGTATATATAATATTCGATTTATCGCATATTAATACACATTTCGCATGCATGGGTGTTTTTTGCCAGCATTTGCCGAATTTATATTAGACAAT